TGCTGTAATGCCACATACATAGGCAAAACAAGTTGCCGTTTACACTACACGAGCCTGCGATCACATGGGGGTATCAATCAGGACTCGAAAAAACAGCCGGTCTCCGCAAATTCACACACACTACCACCCCGTTTTGACCATTTGAATCATAAAATAATAAACTATCATTATAGAGATTCTATCTATTATAAGTGAACTCAGATCTGTAAATAATAACACAATTTCACATCAGTTAAGTCTGTTCAAAATAGGTTACACGATTTCGCAAAAAAACTGTGATATTATAAATAACACATGTGGTGTGCTCTACGTCCATTCTTTAATCTATTCATTATTCTAATTCCTCGTTATAAAATCTTTTAACTCTATAAGTATAGATAATTTTGTATCTTATCCTTGTTTGATATAGCTTACTGAAGATAGAAGTTGTTACTTTCCGAAACGTTCAAGTCTTAAATGTCTGTTGCCGTTTCACAAGTGTCAAAAGTTTGTTGCTATTGGCGTTGTACTTTTGTTTGAAATGTGTCTACTGATGTACAAGTTTACAGTCCAAACTTATCACAGAGTCAGTTGAAACTTAGAAGTTTGTTGCATAGATAAATTTTAATAGCATAATAAATTATTATAGTTCTTACAATACTATAGCATTCGATCCCGTATAGTGTTCTGTAAGCAACATGTGGCTGTTTTTAATATTTCTTTTTATGCAAGACTACTTGAAGATATACTTTTACATATAAAGTGACGATTCACTTGCTCACACCACACACACACAAAAAAAAAACTTTGAAAAAAAGTATATCAATATCATCTAAAATAAATATATAAATATGTGTATGATGAAATTCTAATGTTTCATAATATGTCAAGCCAATATAAACACTTAGAAAAAAATGTAACTTCTCCAAACAAACTAGATTAAACTTAAAAGAGAATATTATCAGTTACCAATTCTTTAATTATTAACTATTGAACATATATATACAATTGTTATGGTGGGTACACATTAACTATTGAACATATATATACAATTGTTATGGTGGGTACACATTAACTATTTCCAAGAACAAATACATTCTTGGATTATAATATAATAAGCCAGCAACTAGCGGCCCTCCAACAGACAAAGTGTAGTTTCATAGCTAACGAGTGCTCAATCAGAGTTTGCTGTCCTCCAACAGACAAAGTATAGTTTCATAGCTAACGAGTGCTCAATCAGTGCTAGCTGTCCTCCAACAGACAAAGTATAGTTTCAAAGCTGATCTGTGCACAATAACAGCTAGCGGTTCTGCAACAGACAAAGTGTAGTTTCAAAGTTGATCTGTGCTCAAGAACAGCTAGCGGCCCTCCAACAGACAAAGTGTAGTTTCAAAGTTGATCTGTGCTTATTAACAGCTAGCGGTCCTGCAACAGACAAAGTGTAGTTTCAAAGCTGATCTGTGCTTAATAACAGCTAGCGGTCCTGCAACAGACAAAGTGTAGTTTCAAAGCTGATCTGTGCTTAATAACAGCTAGCGGTCCTGCAACAGACAAAGTGTAGTTTCAAAGCTGATCTGTGCTCAATAACAGCTAGCGGCACTCCAACAGACAAAGTGTAGTTTCAAAGTTGATCTGTGCTTAATAACAGCTAGCGGTCCTGCAACAGACAAAGTGTAGTTTCAAAGCTGATCTGTGCTCAGTCACAACTATCAGTCCTCTAACAGACAAAGTATAGTTTCGAAAGGAATCTGTGGTGAGCACAACACAGTACAGACAGTCCATTTTGTAGCTTTGTGCTTGACTGTAATTTGCAATATTTATTTATAAGGAGGATTCATAAATTAGTATTCTGATAGAGACCACGTTTTTAAGAATTTCAAAAAATAGTGAATAGTTTGATGCTTCAATTTCCAATAAACATTATGATTAGGCTTAAGAAATATGTATTCCATTAAAGAATGCATTTTCTTATGCTTTATAGCAAGTTTAAATAGTTCTGTATTCTGGTAAAATTTCTCTATTTTGCAAATATATTAGCAACGTTTAGCGTAGTTTTCATGCAGACAGTTAATGTATTTAAATGTATACATTACTATAGTTACATTATCAACGTTTAGCGTAGCTTTTCATGCATACAGTTAATTATTTAAATGTATATATTATTATAAATATATTAGTAACGTTTAGCGTAGTTTTCATGCAGACAGTTAATGTATTTAAATGTATACATTACTATAATTACATTATCAATGTTTAGCGCAGCTTTTCATGCATACAGTTAATTATCTAAATGTATATATTATTATAAATATATTAGCAACGTTTAGCGTAGTTTCCATGCAGACAGTTAATGTCTTTAAATGTATACATTACTATAGTTACATTATCAACGTTTAGCGTAGCTTTTCATGCATACAGTTAATTATTTAAATGTATATATTATTATAAATATATTAGCAACGTTTGGCGTAGCTTTTCATGCATACAGTTAATTATTTAAATGTATATATTATTATAAATATATTAGCAACGTTTAGCGTAGCTTTTCATGCATACAGTTAACGTCTTTAAA